GTTGGAATGTCGTATATAATGAATAAGAAGGAAGAAGAGAGGGTAAGGCAAGACGGCGGACCAGACCAAAGGGTAATCCCAAACGGCTGAACGGGGTACGCTTGTTGGCGGGGAGCGGGTAGAGGGAGTAAGCCAGTTCTTGATGTGACCTTAACAATAGGCGTACTGGTCACATCCTGTGGAGTGTCTTGGTGTACCCTAAAATCTTGTTAATCTTTGTCTTGTAGTTGTGGCTTGGTCGTACGAAGAATCACTTTCTAAATTCCTTATCTGTGTTGCATAGTTACTGTTACTATTTTACTTTCCTTTTGTTTAATCTTCGCTGAAAAATTAACTTATTTTGATTACTTATTTCATTTCCCTTTTGGTTATATGTATTTGTTTCTGATAAATTCTTTACACGTGCTTACAAACACAGAAGTACGGGTTTGTGGTTATTCCGTTTTACTTATTGTGGCTGGCGCAAAAAAAACGGCGAAGCAAATGTTTCAAATTTCAATCTGGACCGCTCTTAAGCACCACCAGTTTTAACTGTTTTGCCCATACTGCAATAAATTTCAGTTTTTTCTCTTTAGCTTCTAATCTTCATATGGCATTCAGCACTGAACACTCGCTTTTCCTTGAGATCTCTGTTTTTTTTTTTTATCCGCTGGTATTGGCTTTGAATGCCGTGAGTAACAACAATAGAAATTCTTTTATAATTCCTACTAATCTTTTATTTTTCTTCTTCTGTGTTAGAGATTTTTTTCATATCTTTCGTCATTATTCTAACTGTTGCGAGGACCATAAACTAAAGTCATAAATCACAAATAGATTCTTTAATTTGCATAGTTTTTTCTGCTATCGTTTTTTTTTTCGTCCTCGTCGTCATCCTATTTTTCTCCATCATATTCATCTTTATGCTTCTGTTCCTTACTGGGTCCTCTCTTCGTTTTCTTCGCTTTCTTCTTTTTCTTCTTAATTTATCTTCTTTATTTCTCGTAGTTTACCTTTTCGATTTTCTTCCTTTACTCCCTGTTTTGAACTTTTTGCAATGGAGTTATGAGTTGAGTACTTTGGCTATCAAGTGTAT